GCTTTGGACTCGTTATTGGTTGCTTTCAATCGATTGTATACTGAAAAATTTTGTACCTTTAATACATTTCTTAAAGTGGAGATATTTTTCTCGGGAAACAGTTATTAAATACTATCATGTTGTTAATAAAACCTGACGTGACATTAATTTTCAAACTTTTGATTTCTGTATTTCCCGCTCTCGATGCCAAATTAAAATTCATAAATTTCTCATAATCAAAGAAATTATCGGCATCCTTTAATCTTTAATTAACGATGAAATATTTGTTTCTCAAGTTCACGAGCATCCCACTTTCATTTCCAATGAATATTCCAAACCATAATCTCTTAATTCCATTTTTTTTAACTAAAGAGAATATGTACAAACACGGGCATAAAAATTCAAACCATTGTGCCCTCACATTTCAATCACGCGCATGCGCTATCGCTCGATGTTACCCCCAGTACTCAAATATACGACAATCCTTGTAATCACGTTCTGTCCCTTATAATTAAAACCTCAATAATTTTATGGCTACAGCTCCGAGCCTACCTGAGGTTGCCCACCTCTGCTGTATCGGCATCAAAAGCCGGTTCTGCAGAACTTAGATCCACTTGGAGGTTCAACTGGATAACAGGCAGGCCACCGCTTGAACAGAAATGGTGCCCATGCTGAACCTGATACAGCTGAATAATTGCAGATGACTTGGCATGACGAGAAGAGACGAGCTGTCATCTCACACTAGGGGTCAGTCGTTGGAATAGAGAGTTGTTCAGTGATGCTGCTTCCTCAAAGACGGATCTTGAAAAGACAGGCGAATTGGTAAGGTACGACTACCAATTAATTCAGTTTGGTACATTTGAAGGAGACTGCGTGGTTGATTCCGTTTAAATAATTCATACGAGTTGGCGTAATGAGAAGAGTAGAGCTATACACTTAGACTAGAGCCAGTCGTGACGGCAGACGGCGGTCCTGTAGAGTGGCTTTTTTGTGAACGGAGCTTGAAGAGTCAAGCAGGGTACCACTTTGATGATTTCGAGTCGGAGATTTAATTTAGATTAAGTTGGCAGAAAACCGCCGTTCATATGTGATCCCTCTACGACTGTTAGAGTTTTGAATATTTCGTTTTTTGAGGCTTTTGGGGTGTGATGGGAGGCATCTTCATATGTTTAACAATGTACTTAGAAGAGATTTTTCTGGAGGGAGTACTTTCACCCTAGTGACACCCTCTATTTTCCAAGGTGCGAGAGAAGTTTTTGAGAAAAATACGGGACCATTGCGCATTGGCCTCTCTCGAATTGGTGTTCTTCTAATGTCAAAAGTGGCATATTTACGCAGTTTTCTCAAATTCGTGGCCCATAAATTGGTGGGGATCTTTGGCGATGAATAACTATTGTTCATTAGAAAAATCGATTGTCAAGTGGACCTGTTGGAGGTAGAGATCAGCCCTCTTTGGACTACAAAAAATCATTTGATGAACTGTAACAATTCCTGGAGGCCATCTCAGCTATCTCTTTCGTTGGAGATGGGGTGTAGATTGCGTCATGGTCCTGGCCAACTCCCTGTAACCAATGGGAGGTAGCACTTGGGGTAGATGTACTCCTATTGGCCTGCCTTCTCTTTTTTCGATATCGGGGAAGCCGCGGTTGAAATGGTCCATTTCTAGGTTGCCGACATTTGTAATTCTTTGGGGCTGCTCTCATCTGTAGTTACCATTGGTGGGTTCTTTAATTTACTGACCCCCCATGTTCAGGAGAGAAAAGAAAAGGAGTGAATAGGATCTCTTTAAAAATGCTGATGGGCAGTTGTGTGGCTTCTTTTAGATAAGTTGTGATTTCCATGTGTGGTCCTCTCGATAGTCACCTCTATCGAGGCCTATCATTCAGGACAGATTTGCTCTCAGTACTCATCGAACGGGAAGTAATTTACGAAACGCGTGAAGGCAACACGACAGGTAGTAAATGCGGCAAAAAATATGATTGGTGATAATAATATCACTCACCAATTCCAAATAATCAAACATGCGCAACAGGTACACATCATTCACGATTGCGTTGTAAAATTCAGCGATGCGTTACATTCATTTCCCTGTCCATACAGAATAGCAATGAATTTTCAGCGCTGCCTTCATTAAAACAAATTAATTTCTGCGATCAACACTACCGTGAGAGAGTAGTAACTCTCCTGCACTTCATTTCTTCCTATTTTTCTACTGATTTCCAATCAGCGTAGTATTTCGGCAACGGTGTCACATTTATTGTAGAAATGCCTTATCCACCATCAGAAATTTTACTCCTCACTGGATATCATCTCCAATAACGGAAAATCCCGAAGATTCGGACAACCAATGGTAATCCTAGAAGCCTGTCGGTCCCACGATGTCGTCCGGACTGTCTCCAAGATGATGAAACGTTGTAGCGCGTGTAACATGACATTTTCGTATGTGAATGGAAAATGCCCATTACCTTCGCCCTACTTCCCCTGAGCCTAATAAAATCTGCTAAAATTTAAATCAAATGGGCGCCAGGTAATTTTTGACCGGAATTACCAAACCGGAAAAATTCATAATCCTAAACTTAACTAACCTCGATATTCGTTGCCTCGAAAATCGTACCTCAAACTCCTAAAGTATCAATCCAAAAATATACACTTAAACCAAAAATAGAAAGCCAAAAGGGAACGGAAAGGATAACTAGGCTTTTGGGGAAAGGTAACGGTCCTTGTTCGCTCAGTGTGCGGTTTATGGAAAGAGGGGTAGATCTTGGATGGCAACGGGGTGTTTTGGGCATGCCTAACTATTTATTAAATTAACAGGTAAATGAAATAAAAAAAAAGAAAAGATAAATAAAGCCTTCAGAAATGCAATTTATTCGGTTCATATTATGGGGGGGATTCGTACAAGATGGGAATAGAAAACCAAATCATCCACTAGCACTTAAAGAAAAACCTCGCCTCAATGCCCAAGTAAAACAATCGTTAAATATTACTATGCGTAGCCCCTCATAGTTACCACTGAAATTTGCCTACAAGGATTATCGATCGGCGATAATCCGAGGAATGTCGCCTGCCTAACGCTAATCGGCCGGGAAATCGATGATTTGCCGGAATTTGTCCGGGGGACATTCGGAGAAAAAGAGGAGATTAAACTCCCCGGAAAACGGCAACATCGAATGCCGAAGGCCCAATAATGGGACACAAAAATACCAAAAAGTGAACAAACTATCCCCGTTTATGAATTCCACCTCGAGGATTATCGATCGGCGATAATCCGAGGAATATCCGATAACTCGTAAGGACTAGGAAATAAAGAAAAGAAAAAAAAAAGACAAAAAAAACGTTAACGCCTCGGGCTCGAACCCACTCTCCTCAGAACTGAAGAGAGCGAGAGAGAGAGGGAGAACCACTGGCCTTCGCTGGCTGTGGAAAATCGTCCCTTAAACCCAAAATTTTGAGAAATTTTAGGAAAACTACATATTACATATTAGGAACCATTAGCGCGGGAGAAACTCCCTCGAAAACCACGTAAAGTGGATGGGGAAATTCCGCTAAAACCGAGGTCCCTACTTTTACCCCTAAACCCCTTCAAACCGGGAAAATCCCCTCAAAAACGCCCACCAACCTAATCAGGGGAGCCCCTAATATTTTGGGGATGCAATTGCGGAGGGGAAAACCCTCTGAAAACCGCACAAAAAAGGATGGAAGAGTCAACCGAGGCCGGGCGGCCGGCTCGGACAATGTCACGACATGTCGTGGAAATTTTCGCGACAAACAGGGTAAAAATGCGCTTAAAACTTGTTAAACTAACTCCTAACTCACCTTTGGGGGTTTCCTTCCCTTCCTCGTGGTCTTTCTGACCATAATCCTGCGTAAATAACCTCACGTAATCCTTAATTGCTCTTCTCACAACACGTGTTCACCTTTCGTCACGATCAACGTATCACTGCCTTGACGAGGTCACTGTAACAGGTGGGTAACTCACAGCCAAAAATCAGACGCGCGCTGATTGGCTGGCGTTAGTTCCGCGCCGAGACGTGGTGCCTTCTGCGCCAAATTTAAATTCGTACTCTAAATTAAATTCCCTAATTTCCTTTGCGGATTCTTAACTTTTACGGGCATGCGGGGCCCGTTTAATCGTTTATTCCGGGGAGCCTGAGTGCTAAAACTTTTCTAACCTTTTTAATCATACATTTACAATTTAGTATCTCCTACTAATCCGAAAATTATTAAAATTTTATTTATCATTAACCCGTAAGCAACCTGGCGATTCAAAGCGGGAAATGTTGCACTTACCCTCCTCGACCTTCCACCGAAAAGCAAAAACGTAAACGTATCCCTAAACTCCTGCCCCCTCTAATTGGAACGTCAAATTATTGTTTTGAACCCGCGATTTTTCCCCACATGCTCCTTCCCAGATTCCCCCATCCCTCACTCTTTTCCTAACTCTTGTGGGCATATATCCCTCTAACGTACATCCCCACATGTACGTTACACCCCCCTCCTTTGACGGTCATTATCCGGTTCCGCCTCAGCTCGGCTGGCTTCGTCGAGGTTGCTCGTTATTGTTGGAGGGGATCCGGGGTTTTATTCTTACTTAGCCTAACCGAACCTACGCCCTGCGGTATAAGGTTGGGAATGACGACTAAACTCGAGCCGGCGGTAGTTATTTACTCAAAAATAGGAAAGTACAAAAATTACAACTACTTTTTGGGCTGTTGCGGCCATATAGTGAGAATTGTCACAGTAATCACTGCTGTCCTCTTAACATTTTGAGGCAACTAAGCTAAATGAACTTCAAAACGAATAATCAAAAAAAAGGAAAGAAAAATAAGCTGAGTCGGTCCCGCCGACGTGGAGCGTTGACTCAAAAAAAAAACAAGTGATCTCCCATGGAGATGACGCAACAAAAAAAAACTCCCTGTGGAGCGCAAAAGTAGAAACAAAACAAAAAAAAAATACTTAATTGGTACACGTCCTTAAACTAGTTGCGGTGACGAGAATGTTCCCCGCGAGATTGCCGACGCCTAGTGGCGTGGAGGGTCCCGTGGTTCCCACGAGCGTGCCAAGTCCTTATGTGTATTCCTCCTTTGAAGCCAGGTTGGATCTGGAATTACTGAAGAGATGGTTCTCCTTCCAGCAGCTGGGATTGGTGTGGGTGCTGCTGTCATCGCTGGGGTCGGGGACGAGGCATAGGTAAAGTACCCTGGTCGTTCCTGTCTCCTCGAGTTCGCAGAAGAATCAGCCGGGGGATTGCGACTATCCCTGGGATCGGCCGAGCCGTAGCTCGAAGTGCTGGAAGTGCCAATGCTGGGAGTTTGTGGACGTACCTGACTCGAATGAAGCCCAGTACGAGTGCGGGCGAGGTGGGTCCTGTGGCCCTTGGTCTTCGTGGGCTTGGTACGCGCCCGAAGTGGTCGTTGCCGAAGTGTCACCAGGGATCCGCCTGACGGCTCCCTGACCGACTGGGTCGCGGCTAGGTGAACGCTTGGAGTACTGGAGGACGTCGGAGTATCTAGGGTGGTCTCGTCGGTCGGCTCGGCGCACATACAGCGGGGGAGTTCTGACCCTGGGGTGCCCCGTCTCGCTGGTCGTCGAACGCGCTCTAGGGCGGAGCGAAGCGGCTGGTTGTGGTGCCGACGATCCTGGGTTCCGAGTGACCTTTACGATCTCTGACCTTACCACTGGTCGGCTAGCGCACTTGCTGATGGTGGTGCCTGGTAGAGTAGTCCCGTGGGTAGGGCAAGGTCGATCGGAGGCGACCCTGAAGGGGCATTTCCCGCAGAAGGTCTCTCCTGTGGGTTTCAGACAGTTGGCTGGTCGATGTCCATGCTTCCTGCAGTCGAAGCACCAAATTCTCTTGGGGTTAAGACCCTTCCTGGAGGCCGATCTTGGTCTAGGCTTGGTGCTCGCCTGAGTCGAGGCGACACCCGATGCGGTCGTCTCGGAGATCTCCGTTCGAGACCTCGGGCCAGTAGCAGGTGTTACTGGAAGTTGTTGGCCAGTGACCGGAGTCGCTGGAGATTGTTGGCAAGTGACCGAAGTCGCTGGAAAAAGAGTGCCGAACCCGGAGGTCGGAGATGGGGCGCCAGTGACTGGGGTCGCTGGAGGGGTTGGACCGAACCCGAAGGTCGGAGATGCGGAGCCAGTAGATGGGGCCACTGAAGGAATGCTCTCGAGCATCCTCCTTATTGGATAAGGAAGCTGACGGGTTTTCTCAGCCGTCAGGACCGGTTGGACGATGATGATGACGACGACGAGCTGGTTGACGACGAACTCTGTGAGGAGGATCGTCGAGGGGGCCCGCTTCGGGGAAGCGGGGGCCTTGGAGACTCCGTAGCTGTAGGTCCTTGCGTTCTCTCTCGCCCCGGAGAGGTCTGGCGGGGCGTCCCCGAATATCGTCTGGGTACCGGAGGGATCACGTAGCTGGTCGACCTCAGGTGGTGCAGAGGTTGGAGGCTGCACAAGTGCAGGGCTCCTAGGAATCCGGCTCTTCGCTGTTCGATTTCCCAGAGCTCGTTCAGCCAGAGCTGCAGGGGGTACCAGGAGTCCTCGATGCGTGGTGCCAGCGTCGATGTGTCCAGTCGCTCTAGCCTGACAACTGGATTAGCGGCCAGTAGCTCGTCATGGCGGCTATTGATGGGTCTCTCCTCAGCGATCTGAGCTGGGGGAGTGGTCTCGGCTCTAGGGCTGAGGTGCTGTGCCGAGTGTTCCTTTACGGGTGTGGCCCTCGGAAAAGTCCCACCTGGAGCGCCTGAGTCGTTCCTAGGGGAACGATCGGCGAGAGTGGGCCCAATTCCATCAAGCATGGTGAAGGATGAACCAGGTTGAGCCTGGAGGCCAGAGATACTGGAGTAGTGGGACGAGAGATGGGTTCCGTCTCTGGATGGTATAGGCTCCTCGGGGGACAAATGATCAGAGAAATGATGAGAGAAATGATCATGAGAAATGATCCAAGCCCGGGAGAACGAAATCTGCCAACTCTGGCGGTGTTCCGCTTGGCCGCAAGACAGCCACCAAGTCTCGGACGGCTGTGGAGACGCCACTTGCGTGGCTGGGGCCTGCTGCATCCTGAGGGTCGGGCTTGACATCCAGCTGGTGCGGGGGGCCGGCATTGGCCGCAGCGGACGCGGGTCAGGATGGAGCTTTTCCTCCCTGGTGTCTTGCTGATGCTGGTGGGCTGTCCGTCAGGTCAACCATCAAGGCCCCTGTGACTTCCTGGCTGGTGCTAGACACCGTTGGTGGTGGGCTCTGTAACGGAAAGGGCGAGGAGAGTTGGTTCGGAACAGGGGCCACCTGAAGGCGGAAACGAGGAAATACAAACAGACAACCCCCCCAAAAAAAACTACACATCGGGTGCGATCCTTCAGTAACCTGAGAGGATCGAGGGCCGCGAAGGGTGATCCTCATGCGGAGGGCGATACGGTTTAAGGTCTTGTATCGAAACTGGACCGAGATCGTGGCCGGTGAAGTCTGCGAGCTGATAGCGGACTCGCGAGATCTTCTTCTGGATTATAAATGGTCCTTCGAGGGAGGTACCAGTGCGACGGAAAAACGTTTCGCTCCATTGGACAAGGGGTGAGATCGTCTCATGACTAACTCACCTTCCTCGAACTCCGTGTTTCTCCGACGGAGATTATAATAGTGCGCCTGTTTATCAGACGATTCCGGCAACGCGTGGATGAGGGTCTTACGGAGGGTATCCTTTTCATCCGGGCAACCCATTCTTGGGGTTCGCCGGGGACGATCTCGATGTCCCCTTCTAGCTTACGGCGGAGAGAAACGGCAGGGAGGGGGTTCCGGCCGTAGTTGGCAAACGCTGTGGACGTTTGAAGGGAAGTATGTTCCGCCGTGTTATATGCAAAGCGGAAGTCGTTCAAGTGCGCCTCCCAATTCCGGTGGTCTCTATTCATAAAGGCTCGCAACATCATTTTCAGAACGCGATTGACCCTTTCGACGGGATTTGCCTGCGGGTGGTACGGTGTGGTAGTCTCGTGTCTTAAGCCCGTACGAGCTGCTAAGTTTTGTATTTCGCGATTTACAAATTCGGTGCCGTTATCGGTGAATAAAACGCGAGGTGTACCCCAGCGAGAGATTATAACATTCTCGATTTATTCCCTAATATCTTTCCCTGTAGCTCGACGAAGAGGAATGATCTCTACCCACTTCATGAACAGATCCTGTAACACGAGTACGTAGGAATAGCCGGTTTTACTCGGAGTTATAGAGCCGACAATGTCAACTGCCACGGTCGTCCAAGGACCCTGGATAACGCGTCGGCCCATGTGACCTCGCGGCCTTGCGTTCTCTACTTTACACCGCTGGCAGGCATCACAGTGGCGGACGAAGGAAATGACGTCGCGAAACAAATTTGGCCAATAATACGATGCATAGAGGCGACGATAACTTTTGTCGACCCCCAAGTGGCCTGCTTCAGTGGTCATGACACTCCGAAATCGCATGTGATCGCGACTCCCGAGGGAGGACCAACTTCCACGCGTCGAGATCTACCATCTCTAACGTGATAAAGTCGGAGGGTCGGTGCGTATACAACCGTCCGTCAACTATCTTCCAATCGGGGAAGAAGTCGGGAACGCGCTTTACGTTTCGGTGTTTACACGAGTACCTCTTATCAGTGGAAATCCCAGCTAATTCGATAGTTTCGCAGTCGGCACCCTCGCCGTCCAGGGCGCAAGATAAGGCGTCGGGCACGTGGTGTAAGGCGCCCTTGCGATGTATGATGTCGAAGTTATATTCTAGAAGGCCTAAGGCCCAACGAGCAAGTCGGCCAGTGGAATTACGCAAATTATGTAGCCAACGCAGGCTGCTATGGTCCGTGATTACCGTGAAAGTGGAACCCTCCAGGTAGCATCGGAATTTGGATATCGACCAAATAACCGCGAGGCATTCCAGTTCGGTGACTGTATACTTCTTTTCTACGGAAGTGAGCGCTCTACTTGCGTAGGCGATGACGCGTTCTTCACCCTCGATCACTTGGGTTAAAACAGCGCCTAGTCCGACAGTACTGGCATCAGTCTGAAGGGAGAAAGGTAGCCCGAAATCGGGACAGGCTAACGTCGGCGACGACGTTAGATGCGTCTTCAATGTGTTGAAGGCGAGATCGTGGACGTCCGTCCACTCCCACGACTGATTCTTGCGAGTCAGTCGAGTTAAGGGTTCCGCGATAATCGCGAATTGCGGGATGAACCTAAGTTACCAGGAGGCCATCCCGAGAAAGCGCCTTAGCTGCTTCAAGTTCCGCGGAGGTGCGAATTCGAGAACAGGGACGATTTTCTCCGGGTCTACGTGGAGACCGGAGCTATTCACTAAAAAGCCCAAGTATTTTACCTGGGAGCAGCAAAACTCGCTTTTCTCCCTATTAATAGTGAGGCCGGCGGTTTTGATCCTATCTAGAACACGGCCGAGTAACTCGAGATGTTTCGCGAGTGTCTCGGAGACGAAGATAATATCATCGAGGTACACAAAAAATTGCGGGTACATGTCTTGGCCAATCAACCTATCCAACAGACGCTGGAAGGTTGCTGGAGCGTTGGTTAGGTCGTATGGCATACGGAGAAAATGGTAAGAACCACGGCCAGGGACCGCAAAAACGGTAGTTTCCCTGGCGTCAGGGTCCAGAGGAATCTCGAAATACGCCTGACTTAGGTCGAGTGTAGTTATGTAATGTGCCTGACGGAGTTCGTCCAGGATACCGGTCATGTTCGGGATCGGATAAGCGTCCTTCTTGGTGACCGCGTTCACCTTCCGAAAGTCAATACAAAACCGATAACGGATTACACCACTCGCTCCGCGAGGGAACGATAACGTCGTTATCGAGCATTTCTTTAACCTCCTTCCACATGATTTCCCGGATTGAGGGAGTCGTGTGGTACGGCCGCTGCCGAATAGGAGGATGCTCGTTAACATCTATTCGATGGGACGCAAGAGTTATAACCCCTTTTTGGAAGGTTTTGGTCGAGGAACGCATGAAGTTGGGATTCCTGCGACTGGTCGATAGTTTGTAGGCCACAACACATAGTGAGTCGTGGAGCCGAATTCACCCGGCTGAATCGGAAACGCTCGTCCGGTTTATCTCTATAATGCCAGGTTTGTTCGAAACAGTCGATCATTATCCTAGCGGTAACCAAGAAGTCCATCCCGATGATGAAGTCCTCAGAGAGAGTGGGCATAATAAACGGGGTGAGCGGAGTATCACGGCCGGCGAGGTCGGCAATGCAAGCCGCCAAGTGCCGGACAAGTTCGATTTAGCCGCCAGCTGTTCTTCCAGCAGCGGAATGTTTGCCTTCTCGAAAAGGAGAATTCCCGCCATACCGGCGAAAGACTTCGTAGCTCCCGAATCTATGAGAGTTCGTACCCTAAAGCCACGGATAACAATATCGACGTGGAATGCTCGAGGAATGTTTTCCGAGGCGGCGTGGAGCAAAACACTGTTCGGAGGCATGGGTTCGGGTGTTGGCCGTGAAGAAGCTCCCGAGGGGTCGGGAGAGAGGGCCACAATCGACGGTTGTGGAAGAGAAAGCCCATCCGCGGTTATCAGCCGCGGTACGAAGTGGAGGCGTGTAGCGTCGGGGTGAGTAGCCGGTGTAAGGTCAAGCTGACGATGAGGTACGGATGACGGATTTACGTGCCTCGGGCAATGTGGACAATTTTAGGTGGTAACACTTGATAGTCTGCACCGGTAACAGCAAACCCTACGTGGTTCGGGACAGTCACGGTGACGATGTCCTCTACCACGACAATTCCAGCATTCCACCACGCCGAGGGGTGGACGTGGAGCTGGAGGTGAGGTTGCCTCCAGTGGGCGACCGGCAGCTCGAGCTGCGGATGGAGCGAGGACGGAAGGTGGGTTGGTACCTGTTCGTCCTGAAGGATGAGATGCCGTGCTATGAGTGCGCCTCTCGCGAGAGCGAGGTCGCGGCTGCATGCTTGACTGCCAGGCTAGAGGTCTAGCTGGATTGTGATTCTGGATCCGGAGAGGTCGAGAAGGGACAGGGTGCGAAACCGCGTCCACCTCAAGGTATTCTTCGTCGTAATACTCTTGGTAGTCCTCCTCCAGAACCTGTAAGTCCTCGTCAAAGGAAACCATCCTGGCGGATGGGGGTCGCGACGTCGGAAAAGGACGTCGAAACGAGATGCGTCCGGGGGGACGAGTAGGTTTATACGCCAAACTCGGGCAAATGGAATGCTCCGGTTTCGGAGGTGGGCAGCGATCTGCCGATTTTTCGTAAATTTTGGCGCTTTGCTGCTTTCTCGAGCTCGTCCATGGTCATACTGTCCCGGAGAGAAATGTCAACCTGAAGGGTTGGAATGAGCTTTCGGTGGGTTTGCACCACTCGATCCAGTTCGCTCACTACTGGAACAATACGTGTATAATAACCGCGAATGCAGGCGAAATAATGATTGACGGACTCATCATCCGCCTGAGTGCGCAAAGCTAATTTTTCGCGAATGGCCGTCTGATAGTCCGGATCAGTGAACGTACAGCGGAAGGTTTCCCGGACCTGTTCCCAAGTCCGAAATTCATGGCAGTGGCAACGATACCAGGTCAAAGCTGGCCCGGAGAGGAGGAAAGGGATTCCTCCAATTAGCTTGTCGTCGGATATCGGTATGAAGGATCTACCTTCCTCAATTCTGGACAAGAAAAGCTCCACGTCTTCATGGGGAAAACCGGAGAATTTTGCATCCCACTTTTTCATGGATTGCAGTATGGAGGCCGCAGTCAGAGACCCTTCAGCTCTGACTCGGAAACCGGTCTTCTCATCAGAGAGGTTGAATCCCGGATCGACGCGTACGGTCCGTTGAGTACGCGGTTGCTCCCTAGGAGATCGAGGGAGATCACCCGTGGCAGGATGTGACCGACCCTGTGCGGGTGGATTTGCGCCTGGCGGAGAGTATCTCTCCGCAGGAATGTCGTGCCCTGAGGCTCGATAATCTTGATACCCCATTTAGGGAGGTCGCCTGAATTGGGGTCGGCCTTCCGGCTCAGCGGAAGGATAAGGCTCTTGTAGAAAGGAAGTGTGCCCTTGAATCGGCGGATTCTGGGGGAAAGCACGGGGGTCAACCCCTGGAAAGTGTGGCGGAGGTGGTGGTCCTCCGAAGCCAGCATACCCTGGGTAGGCTGGATAACGGACCCATCCGGGAACATACGTCCCTTGTTGGAAGTTCGGGTACGCAGGTGCCGGGTCGTCGTTCTGATCCCGGAACGCGGTAGGGTCTTCTGGACCATTACCACGAAGAGAGCCTAGGCTTGAATGCGAGGAGATTGAAGCCGTCCTACTATTGGCGGAGCCGCAGCGTGTAACCTTAACCTTGGGTTTAGTTACTGCGGAAGTCTTTCCGGTTTTGCGAACCTTTGGGGGTTCGAGGTTATCGCCAACTTCCCCGTCCGTTTGAACGGATCAGTGAACCGGGTCGGCAAGGCCGGAGGGTCCTGCACCCGAAAAGCCAACCGAAGAGGGATTCTCTGTCGGTGTAGTAGCCGGGTTATCCGAAAGCTGCTCATCAAGAGCAGAAGGGTCGGTAGGCGGAGTTTTCTTTCCACCGCCCATCCCTTATGATAGCAAAAAAAAAAATATGGAAAGAAGGTAAAGAATTTGGCCGACAAAAATACGAGGCAAAAAAGATATGCCTTGTGGCCTTTGATGCGCAATAACCTTTCCAAACGAAGGAAGGGAGAAGGAAAAATGCCAACCGAATTGGGGAGAGTAATTTGACTTTCAACAACCTGATCAATAGTTCCGAAATCCAAGTCCTGATTAGTGGCCAAAGTCGTAATCCAGTAGCGTAGTGATGATCACCCTTCACTTCCTCGCAACGTGGTCCAATCGAAACAAAAAAAAAGTTCGAAGACGGTAGTGGTGCACTTACTGTGTTTTCACTTCACTTACTAAATGGTCAGAATTCGGCTAACGGGAACTAAACCGATAGCCGAGGCTATCGAACTTAAATGTAACCAAGAACTGACAGTTCGAGACCGTAAACGCAATTAAATCCATAAAATTAAGAATGAGTCCCTAAGGGCTTTAGTAGTAAGTGGCCAGTATTGGGGAATTTCCCACGCCCCCTCCCCCCCTTTTTCCAGGAAATGGACGTGTAGGTGCAGGTGTGCGCCCCAGGGGCTATTGTGCGGGTGTGCGCCTGGACACGTTCACCCCCTTTGTGCCTTGACAGAGGAATTTGACTTTAAATTGCGGATGCGAGCGCCTTTGTTATAATTTCCTTAAATATTGCGTAATTTTGGTCAATAGACTTCCGGTCTAAGAGTGATCCCTGGTTTTTCCTTAAAGGTTACATAAGTACAATAGACATCCGGTGGAAAGTGGATGGGTGGGAAAGGGTGGAGGTTTTGTAAATTATTAACACGAGAATTATGAATGACTTTTTTTCTTTAATTGATTAGAAAATTATGAGCTACAGTTCTTACAGTGCAACATATTTAAAAGTATACACACACATATAAAATTATAAAATCGTCATTATCTTAGGTATAATTTTCTAGTATGTGGGCATTCGGTATGGTCCTCCGGCAAAACCATCTAGCTCGTCATAACATAAATGATACATCTCGCCAAATAATTGATATAAATATCCCAAATTGGCATCAGGGTTTGCGCGCTGAAGGTCATCCCTGGCCAGCAGATATATCTCCTCGAAATTATTCCCGATGCGATGGTGCAGTTCTTCAGTAACAGGCATTCTATTGTAGGCCATGTATCCCATTGTGACACGTGTAATGGCCTTGACAAGAGACTCCTTGTATTCTCTCAAAGGTAGTGAATCCAAGAAATTCAGCCACTGGGTGATCCATACAGCTCTGCTTTTTAATGTTTCAATACTAGGTTGCATCATAATGAGAAGATTTTTTTCCCCGTCACGTACGAAGGTCGCACAGAGTTTTTCAAAACTCTGGTGGAATCTCACCGTCAGCCCCCCAAATTGCTTTGCAGGTACAATGTGTATGGCGTTTGGGTGAAACTTCGTTGTATCAAAATACTCCGTAATTGAAGCCATGTCCTTGTACAGTAGACCCCATTCATCCCGTGACATTGAAATCGTTGAACGGTTCGGACGCACCCCCATAAATTGCACCACCGGAAGGAACTCTCCGACACAGGTCACTTCAAGACCGACACGTATCTGTTTAGTCCCTGATTTATTGAGGGGGAAAACTTGTGACAATAATACCTGCTGTTCGACAGATATGGTCTTTTTAGCGCTATTGATCTCCATTGTCACGATCACGTAGAGCAATATCACAAAGATTGAATAAAAAATACCACGTACGCGCGTGCTTTATAGCGTCAGCCGCGGGAGTGGGGAGAACAAGACCGCCACGTACGCGCTCGTGAGTGGTGCATATGCGGTCACATGTTACCTCCCGCTACGCTGCCATATCCCCCACTACCGGTGCATGGAGGGCCTT